CCCCCCACCCCCGACCTGAGAAACGCCACTGAATGGAGCCCCATGCCCTCTTTTTGACTTGTAGATAATATCTGATAAAACAATCTACAGCAGTCTATTGCTCACGGGGTAGACTTTACTTACATTTTAGCGCGAAGAAGAAGGTCCTCCTGGGTCCACCAGGTGATCGGCTGACCACAGGTATCCGGGTGGGTTGGCGAGTCTGCGCTCCGAGGCGCAACAGTCACGCTCGCGTAAGGAGTGTCACACACCCGTCACGTTCCTGTCACGTTCGTGTAATGTGTCACACCACTCCACACCTTGCACTTGTACTGACTTCACAATAGCTGCACTTGATGAGTACACACAACTGCACTCACTCACACACACACACACACACACACACACAATATCTCGACGACTAGACGTATTTTATGTATCCACCTGTGCCCTGGGCAAACTTGAGGCAACGCACACCATAAGTTCACTGCCACTCACGTAAACAACAAAGAATAACGATAATAAAATGAAGGCACGGCAAGTTGATGGTATTGACTAGGTAAATTAAAACTTGAAGACTAGACACGACGAAGAGTTGCCGGTACGCAGTTCGAATCTCACAACATTGTCAAGAGCACTTGTGACGGTGCCGGTTGGCAAGCACGCCTGGGGGCAAGTCCTCCCGTGGGCGCCGGCGCTGCCGCAGCTGCAGGGGGCAGCGCCGCTGCAGCTGCAACTCCCCCGCGCGTTGCACACCGGAAGTAGTGGACGCCGGCGAGCTCCGCAGCTCCGCGCGCTCCGCGAGTGCCCCGGCTCGCACGCGACCAGCACGCCCGCGCACGCACACACGCCCGGTTTGTTTTGGGTGCGTCGACCCGATCCGACCCTTCGCGCTCGCTGGCCTGCGCTTGGCCTGCGCCCGGCTCGGCTCGGCTCGACTCGGCTCGCTCCCACCCGTCTGCTGTGCTGTGTGCCTCGCGACTGGCGGCGGGGCGGCCGTCGCCTCGCCTCCCGCGGGCCCGGCTCGCCCACCCCTCACCCCCCGGCCAGCGCTATGCCGCTATGCCCCCCTCCCCCTCCCCCTGCAGCGCATAGAGTGCGGAGTGCGGCCACTGCCATGGGCCTGTCGTGTCCTCTGCGACTAATCCATGGGATCGCCCGCTCATGATCGTCTCTGACCATCCATGTCCACCGCCGTGAGCCAGAATCCTGTAGGACTCCACCATGGAGCCAGCCGCGGCCTCCGCTGCCAACCCCTCTGGGCCGGGCCGCCCGCTGAGGATCATCCCCATCCCTATCTCACCGACATGCGCCGGCCGTGGCCAACCCTTTTGGACAAGCGGCTCAGAATCATTCCGTGCCTCTCTGACTCTGACATGCGCCTAGGGATTTTCTAGTGTAAATTGCCTACCTCTCTAGAGAAGGAGGATCACTCCCCCCCCCTCCCCCCGCCTCCGACTCGTTGAGCCCCCGCTCAGCATCATCGCTGTCCCTCACCGTTCTCTACCCGTTCCCCACCCCCTCCCAGACGGAAGCAGGAGAGTGTCAGCCAAACGTTCAGGAGCTCCGCCTCTACCTCTCCTGTGCCTCTGAAAGTAATGTTAACGCCCATCATGACCGTCACGTCCAACTAATGCACTAGCTTGAGCGTGCACTCAGTTTTATTGTTTTTCTAATTCACAAGTGCACTGACGTGCCAAGTTTTCAAATCAGTTGTTGTGCACTTGTAAGTGTTCAACCCCTCTGTTCAATACTCCCAGCATAGAATGCACCCGATGCAATGGATGTGTTCAAACTGATGAGTTAGAATCCTTGCAAGTGCACTGCACATACTACCAGTGAGTTGGACACTTGCAAGTATTCCGTACTTGATTTATCTGCTCGCTATTTAAAAACAGTTTTATTCTAGGGATTTGTACATCCAATGTAAATGTTTTTAGATAATAGTTATCCACCTATATGTCAGTGATTTTTCAAACAGCTCCTTTAATCCTGACATGACATGAGTTGATTTTTGGACAACAGAGACTGTAACCATCAAATGGTTTCCACCTTGGTTCGCACATTCTTTCTTCTTCGGCATAAAATTTCCAAACGGTCTATAAAACAAGAACTTTATAGAATTAACTGACAAATTGGAATTAAGTTTTCCCACATATGCACATAGTAGAAATTATAGGTATCAACAAGTTTAATACACTAATGTGCAAATAAACTCCATCGTACACTGGTGGTAAAATTCAAATGGATACATAATTTTCCTAACTTGAAAGGAAAAGAAGATATTCAAATTTCATTTTAAAAAAGTGTTAAACATGACATTTATTATGAGCAGATATTTAGAAGAGTTGTTTGTATATCATAACTTTAATTTCCAGCCCTTTGTACACTATACAATTTAGGTGACTCAAAATCTGAAAAAGAGAGAAAGTGAATTAGCCTTCTAAATCATCTATCATTAATAAAAACATAGCTCAAAAGTTAGTAGATGACAGACTTACATGAGCTTTCTAAGTAATAAAGTATCAGTTACTCTTTTAAAATGTGTAGTAGATTTTCCCACTCTCTTTAGCCGCTTTACCAGGAATCTGTTTGGCAGACTAAAGGCAAATAAAAATAAAAAGCAGGATAAAATTACGCTTTAGCAGTAACCACAATGATATAGTAAAAAATAAAAGCAAATACATACAACAGGTCTGTGCACAGGGTAGGGATCTGTCAACATAGCAATCGTCCAGAATGTACCAAGGACTCCAACCAACATTCCGACCATGACCCTTTTATCAACCCACCAGTCTTTTTGAGGATCACACCTGTCCTCTCCAAGCATGTCGGAATCAATATGCCACTGAAAATTTAAAGAAAACATGCGTGAAAGTGAAATAAGATGCAAGAGTAATGTAATTGTTAATCAGATGTGATACATACAACTTCACCATAATTTTTCCTATACTCGGGCAAATCCCAAGGGTACCAAGGATCCTTAGAATCAGCTCCTATATCAGGAAGACGGGGGTAATCACCACGGCCAAAACCATCATCTGGAATAGGTTCATATTCCTCTGGGAGTAAGCCGTACTTCTTTGCAGCCTCGAGTCGTTCCTTCTCTGTCTTGGGGTATGGTGCTGGCATGTAGTCAGTTAAGACCCTGGCAGCTAGAATGTAAAAGAGAAATGAGTTTTGTGAGATGAACTTGCAGGTATAGATTAAGATGAGATAAAGAAAGTTATGATCAGTGAAAACTTTCCATGGAAATTGAAACACAAAATTAGGGCGAAGACATACTCTCAAAGGAATGTAATGCATACACCAGAGCAACGATACAATAACTCAAGACGGACATGTAAGTAATGTTGCCTTTGATAACTGACTGTTTTCGTAGGTTAGGAAGGATTAGGTGCATACCTGATCGTGAGGAGTTGTACAAAAGCGCTGGTTTAATTGGCAAGCCTTTCCGACTCACAAGTTGCCTCAGCAAAGCCATGTTTAAAGTGAGCACTCTTCTTCAAACGTTTCAACAGCGAATAACGCTGAAATTTACAGAACCATCCAATAAAACGTTGAAGGACAAGTGTCCCCTTTACCCCACCACAGCAGCAGACAAAACTCACCAACAAAAGAATATCGAATGATTTAACCTGTCTGCAGTCTCACCACCAACCTCTTCTTTCGTAACGGTTGTGGAAAACGAATATGACTAATCGTCGAGCAATAGAAAAATTTCCCATCCACACGAAGGATTTAATATATCTCCTGCTTCTTTTAATGGTTTCTCTTCATCAAAACAGTATCTCATTATTAAATGCTGTTGTGGTGATGTGTGGCCAACATGCATCATATGAGAATATTTTCATTCGAAATCTGTCTGCATGTTGTTATGGTTCGTAATCGTAACTGTGAATGAATGAATGAATCGCCTTCCTTTCCATCAACAACGTATGAAAAGTTATCATCGGTTTTTCACTACAATCTTCAGAGAACTGACTCGTACTAACAGTGATTGTTGCCATAAATTTGCTGAACTTAGTATTTCTCGGCACCCTGACAGCTGACAGCAGCTGACGGCTGCGTCACATGACGTAAGCACCTGTTAATCGCTTAAACGCGTTTAAGACGTTCTCTTTCTTTAAAATAAATTTGGAAACCGAAACAGTTAAGAAGGAGAAAGTGGCATTATAGCTAATGAGAAGGAAGACATTTCATCCGCACATGGTTAACATTATCTTTAGAGAAGCAGCTTTATATTACTCTTAGTCCCTAAACTTCGCAGCTCTCGCAGTTGGTTCTTTCATCATGGCAGCAGATGATGGATCCACTGTCCATTCACGGAACATAGGTGAAATTGAGGAGGTTCCAATGTCAGTCATAATTCGTCCTCTCGTTTTAGAAGTTAACAGTCAGAAAGTTCAAAGCCTAATGGATACATTGGAGGTATGTTAATATTGATATTGACTTATTGTACTTTTTATCAACTTGTACACCTTGCATCTAAATGCCCCTGTTTCTCGTATGTTTAGGATCCAACCACAGTTGACACTGTTCCTCCAATCGATGTTCTTTGGATTAAAGGTAGTGAAGGGGGTAACTATTTCTATTCATTTGGTGGATGTCATCGCTACACAGCACACAAACAATTAGGCCGGAAAAGTATACGAGCAAAGATTGTTCAGTCTACCATTGATGACTTGAGAGTATACCTTGGTTCTTCAACTCCGGACTTGAAGTGAATACAGTTTACTTTCACAGAAAATGTCAAAGATTTGCTGTGAATATTTTTATATGCAAAAGGAGGTATTGAGCTTAACAATGTATCAGTATTCTGAATATCAAAACCTTTGGGCTGAGGCATAAAATAAATAACTAGTTTTGACTATTTTTTAATCTTAATCTTTTATTACATACAAATAATATCAATACTATTTATCAAACGATGATTGCATTTGGTGTGGAACTCTATGGCCCTTACAGTACTATTATGTAAAGCCCAATTGATTTAACTGTACATGTAATAGATAGATAAGATTATTAAGCAGCACACAACTAATTTAAAGATGTACACAAGTAATTTTGAAGAGAGTGATAAAGCATTTATTAAATTGTGCACTTACATTGTTTGCACAAATCAAGAACAGTAGATACAAACCCATGATGAGCAAATCAACAGATCCTGTCTAAACCAAATAGATATGACATGATTTTTAAAAAGTTACAAAAGATCAGACAATTTTACTTTGGTCGCATTTCAAATTCACATCAGATACCTGCACAAACAGAACTAGTAGATACTTTTAAACCTGGGACCAAGGTATCATCAATCCCTTAGTTTTCAAGATCTACATTGGAGAGCTATCATATTTGAACTCTTAATGTGTCATTCAAATGTCACCATCTAATGTGTTAAGCTGATCATTTTCCATTCTGTTTGTTGAATATTTTCAGAAATTTCATTATCTTGCTTACATATAAATACTATGTATTCGACATCAACACAAATCAATTGCAATTATACCATTGCATTAACAAAGAGCACACCAACAGACTAGCAAACAATAAATACAAGAAAATATGTTCAAAAGAAAACAACATGATATATAAATGATTTTAATACATGTCATCTACTTGCAGAAACATCTTGTCATCTGCCTAAGCTGTGCAAGAGCATGGGCATGATGTTTAGGAAACTTTGCAAGTATAATAACTAATGTGCATAACAGAGGAGAATAAAATATATAAAGAAAAAACTATCGGAACAATGCAAAAACTGTGCAAATAAAGAGCAGTTAAGTATATTAGTAAGTAGATACTTATGCGATTTAATTGATTATGCACATTCAATTCATTTAAACCTGCAGTGGTATTAAATATTTAATCTTACCAAACATTTTCCAATTTGGTTAATTATCAGGTAAGTAATGGTCAGCAATTTGTAAGTCACGACTAGACTGATGTAATACATATGGTAAAGCTCAGAAAAGTTCAATGCTATCAGCTCCAACCAAAGAAGTTTTTAAAATTAGACCCATCAAGAAATATTCTGATTAAACACAAATAAAAAAGTTATTAAATTTAAGTGACCAATAATAGAGTGAAATTAAATCATAAATTGCAACATAAAAGTAAAATGCATTTGTACATCAATTACTATCAATATATGAAAATACCGGAAAATACACACACGCGTGCGTACACGCACACACAAACACACACAAATACACATTTACACTTCTGTAACGTTAAAAATAATTAGTCTAATACAAAGTTTGGAGATCAAAAACCTGCAAAGTGAAGGTAGACACTACCTAAATACAAGAAGAAAGATATCCTTGGAGATCACAGCCTTTAACATAGTGTACTTTTACTTGCTGATAAACAGGTCAAAACAGTTTTATATCTATCAAGGGTAGTTTGACAACTTTGAAGGATTACTTACAACGGAAAAAGTACTATTGGTGATGGGGCCTTGAGCTTTTCCCTTTGCTCTACTGACAAGAGCTCCATTCAACTTTTTAATCTGAGAAGGAGATAACGAAAGTTTTTCCGGATATCCATTTTTTACAAAGTATGGTTTGTAAGTTGGTTGAGATGCTACTGTTGGACTTCCACTAGTATGAGAAAAGTTATGGAATGTGTGAGCAGATTCACTTGGTGTTGAGGGGAAATCACTTGATGCTGAGTCAGATGAAGAATCATTATTAGCTGTAGCTGAGTTGTTTTCAGTTGTGGCATTTGAGAACTGTTCAAAGGCTGATGTGCGGAAGTGGGCAGGTATATCATCCTGGCGCACTCTGAGCATTTGGGTGTTAGTAACTTCACAGTCAATTTGCATCATTCTAATATGGTTAAGGCCAAACATTGATTCTGCAAAATATCACAAGAGTTTTAACATAGTTTGAAATAAGTACTTGAAAGTCGGAAACAGTTTGTTGGTTCACTTACTATTAATGGGTACTGCTGGAAGAACAAGTGACATTTTGGGTCTTGACGAAGAGTTGTGTGCTTGAGCTGGTAAAAGAATGTGATCACCCGAGAAAGACACAACATAGAAAGTATCATCTCTTCGCTGAAAAGAGTCCAGGAATGCAGTATAGTCATATAAGGGTGACCTGACTCCATACACCTCAACTTCATGGCTAGCAGTGGAGCTCTTCTTAGTGGCCCTGAGAGATAAAATTTAAAAAGTCAAAGTAGGAAAATACCAACGAATATTGTAATAAAGTTTCACCGAATAAAATCCTACAAAAATGGAAAAACATTCTTCCATACCTGTGAGCAAGTGATTTCCTGCGTAATTTAGAACGTTTCTCTTTATGGGTACTGTTATGTTCAGGAGCTTTTGATGGCATTTTTGATAAGTTTGTAGGAGACCCCAATTTCTGGTCAGAAGTGGATTTAGAGGGACCACCATGCAGTGCATCTTTGGAGTCTGTAAAAGGTTTTGAAAGAATTGGATCTTGTGGAGCAGGATGGTCAGGATCAGATCCAATCCAGCGGCGCAGTTCACTGTCAAGCCTGAAAGCAATAATTGAAAATGTTACATAACACTGATAATGGAGATTACCTTTTATTACTGCAAACCTTTAGAATGAGTGGTTGATTTTACCTAATAGATTCAGTTTGGTTTATGAAAAGAGGACAAATGGGCTGTACTGCAGCACTTCCAGAAGAATTCCTTGATAAGTATTCTGAGCTAGAATTGTTGGTAGAAGACACGTCTTCTGTCGGTGCCCATAATAACGACCGGCCGTGATGAGTGACTGAACTAGACACAGATCCACCTTTCATTTCCAGACTACCCATAGTAAGTGAGTCAGAGCTGCGACTGACCATGGACCTATAAAGTAAGGTTTCAGACCAATACGTATAAAAAACAATACAGTTAACTGACATACATGAAGAAAATAAATTCAACTCACGGGATAGATCCTAAATTTAATGTAATCATTATGATGCATACAAGAATAGCAGTTGCTTTCTTGGTCTTAACTGAAAATGTTGGAGATTTGGTCCATGACATTGCATTTTCTAACTCATTAACACGTTCTTTAAGAACATTATTTTCCTGTAAATGGATGTTTTTGTAGAAACAACACACATCAACACATCACATTATAAAGCAAGCAAGATTATAATAATTTGAATAACAAACCAGCTGAAGCTGTATGTTCTCCTGCTCAAGTTCTGATAATCTTCCCTCGAGTGATGACACATACTCCTTTTTCTTCTTTCGTGAAAGGCAAGCTGATTCTCTATTTTTTATCATCCGTTGTTGCCTTTTCAAGGCCTTTATCTACAACAAGGAAACATTTAATCTATATACCCATCCATCCATGGCTCATTAAAATCTCCCATTTCAAAACAAGAGCAAGCAATACTTTACCTCCATCTCTTTCCTAACTGGATTTCCTGTCATTTTGGAGACAGAAAAAGCAGATGATTGCAATGGTCTACCTGAGACAGTACTTGTCACAGGAATAGAGGTGACTGCAGGCAATGAATTTGTTATTGTTTGGCAAGGAATCAACGGCACCTTGGCTGGTACTGTGCTTGGAGTTAATACTTGAGCAAAAGAGGGGACAGATGGTTGTGCTGTAGAGGTGACAGTTATTGGTGGCACAAGCGTTTGCGCAGTTGTGGGGGGTGTTCCATTCTTCGGGGGTTGTATTCTCAAGGTAGTTGAGACTGATTTTGCAGTGTTTAGTAAACCAATTGTGCAACCTGCTTGATTTACTCGTACTTTCTGAGTGAGTGCTGCAAAATCCTTGGCAGTTAGTAGTATTGTTTTTCTTCTGTTGGCATCTGCAATGCATAACAATTTTAAGTAAGTCAGAAATAAATGACAAATATAGGATGGAGGTAGACAAAGTAAAAATTATCACCTCCAACAGTTGACAGGGGAACCGTAACAGGGCTAGGTAAAGTGACAGTTTTCACTGTGGGGACGGTTTGAACTGTAGGAGCAGTTTGGACACCAGGCATTGTTTGCACTGTTGAGACACTAGGTATGGTTACAGTAGAAACAGAAGATATTGCTGAAACAGTGGGGATGACAGCCTTTGAAGGTTGGCTAGACCCTTCCAATTGGTCACTAGAGGGCTTTGGCCTAATAAAAGGAGCAGGCCTTTGTGTAAAGGCAACTTTCTTTTTATCAGCTTTTAGCTTTGTATCTGAAAAGAATAATTCAAAAAGTTATTGATAGAAATTTTACATGACAAATAGTGCAAAGGGTAAAACATTTAAGGTTTAATAAAAGCCTTACCACACTTGTACTGCTTTAACTGCAACTGGAGCAAATCTGAGTTGTTGGAAGAAACCACAGACACTGGGGAAGTTTGCCGTTTTACAGAATTGCTTTGAGAAATAGATTCACAAGCTACTTGGGGTGATTCTGGCGGGCTGTTGTCAGTAAACGGTGGTGAGAGAGGTGGAGACTCCAGCGGTGTCTGCAACAACGAAGTTTAGTCAGATGTCAGATACAACGCACCCCATGGTACAATAATCCATTGACACTTTCAATAAACTATTTACCTTGGCCTCTACAGCTAACACATCTCCTGTCCACAAGTCTGTGTTGCACAAGCTCGAAGTGGACCCTGCACTTGATGGGGGAGGTGATGGAGGAAAGTCAGGCTCAACCTTGATTTCCTCTTTAATTTCATTTAGTAAAATAGCTAAAATTATTTAAAAAAAAAATAATATATATTACAAAATCAAGTTAGACCAGTGCTACAAAAAAACAAACACGGATTTTATTTGTTGAAATGACTCACCTGCTACATTGGGATCATCAGTGGCTGATTTCAAATTGGGGAAGGCATCCGTGCTCCAGTCTCCGGTTCCCTGCTCAAGCCCGCTAAGGATGGGGTCGAGCAGGAAGTTTCTACACGGGTCCTCGTCCTCTGTGCCGTAGTCCGAAGGATCGTCCAGCAGCATGGGGATCTATCGGGGAGAGGTACAGGTGAATGAATATATTTGCACAGCTTACAAGGCCGACCGGACGGGGTAAAATATGTCTAATTAGGCTATTTTCCCCACGGAACGTGGTCATTTGATACGCGTGACACACTAATAGAATCGTACGATGAATTTCACAGAAAGCTGCAGTGAAACCTATCGACAAAGTTACGGTGACATTCTTTGTTTACCGTCACTTTCAGTGCTCCGGCGGTCCGGGGCGGGGTTCTGTCTGAAAGTGTTCAACTGGCGAACACCCAACGATGTTCAATACACCGGGACGGATCATATTACAGGGTTGGTGATCTGCGCCGTCATTTTTTTTTCTGGTTATACTATACCGGATTCAGGCTAGTAAAGGGCAATATACCAGAGTGTTGCGGGTTTGCCTACTCGATCTGCCCGTAAGGCGCCATAGTCCCTTGGGTATGCAAACCCACAACACTGGGGAGTATTTTAGGCTTTTTCACGCGGTACACTGGTAATACAAATGTGCATCTTGTGCACACTGTAGTGTGCTTTTCTCTTTTCTCTAACTAGCACAGCTCACGTGTTTAAACATAAAGCACACCAAATAGTGTGCAAAGTTTGCACACTTCGTGCGAAGTTGAGTTTAAGTTCGACACCAGGAAGTGTGCAAAGTTTGCACATTTGAAAAGCACACCAATTAGTGAGCAACTTTTTACATTTCACTGATAAATAAAGTGTTCAACTGGCGTGCACATGCAAGTGCTCAGCACTGTTATTGCACACTTTTAAGTGTTTGACTGGATATTTAAGTGCTTAAAGTGTTCAACAGTAAAATTGAACACTTTTGAGTGTCCAAAGGTTCATGGCCAACCCTTGTGTTGAAAACTTTTAAGTCTACAGCTTTACTGTCAAGCACTTTTTAGTATTCAAATATCCAGTCAAACACTTAAAAGTGTGCAACATAAAGTTAGGCACTTGCATGTGCACGCCAGTTGGACACTTTATTTATCAGTGTTGTTTTACCAGTGTATGGTTTAACCAGAAAAATGACGGTGCAGATCATCCACCTTCGGAAAGTTAAAAATTTCGCATCACATACCTCCAAATCATTGGAGAACTGCTGGAGGAGGTCCGCCTCGGGGGGTATCGGGCAGTCCACATCTGAAACAAACACAGCAAAAGAAGGCAAAATTAATGCGCGTGAAAGACAACTGACATAGCACGCATAGTTGGGCAGACCTTCAAAGTACAAGACAAGGCTTTGGAGGAAAAATTATTAAAAGAAAACTAAGTAATGGGAATCACCTTCCCTTTCCCACAACCTCTTCCTTTGCCTGGCCTGTCAGCGGCCGACAATGTCAGCCCCCCCCCCCTTTCCGTTTCTCTAAACTGCGCGAGTATGCAACTGATGAGCCCAGCCCACCTGGCGCTCGCGCAGCGGACTCACGCAGTTGCAACCACGTGTGTGGAAAACTCGCCGAGCCGAGAAGACGGTAGCCAGCCGGGCTGCTCACACCGGCGATAAACAAAGGTTCTACGTCGCACCTTATTTGCAGGAGTAATACAGAATTTGAATTTAATGCCTTTTTGTTAAAGGCGCTCAGATCTCGCCCTGTTCGAGCAGAGTTGCCCACACCACGTCTGTCTCCCCCGACAGGACACAGGCGGGAAGTCCAACGACCTTGGCCCATCGTCAGACAAAAATCCGTGGCGGCGCCAAAGTGAGTGCTGGCTGCTGTGAGTGTAAAGTTGCCCCGCGACGAGGGGATTCCCCCCTCCCCCTTCCTCCTCGTCCCGAAAGGGAAAAGCGGGAAAAGTGACACTGCCTTTGCTTGTTGCGATTTGTTTTTAAGCCGGTGCGGGTATTTTCGAGAGACAGTCCCCTTGCTGCGTCTCGGCCAGGCGGTCAGTGGCCCCCCCCCCCTTCCCTTCCCTTTCCTCCTAAACCACCTCGCGCCTCGCGGCTCTTCAAGCAACACAATGGTGACAAAATCCCATTCACCTCGGGCGGGAGGGTGCGCCGCCACCGACCAGCAGAACACAGCGAGCAGAAAAAAAAGGGTCCTTTGCAACTTGTGTCATTTTTAATGTTTACTAAATTATGCTAGGCAAATTTCCCGATGATTCGCAAGATGCGAGAGAGGTTTTTTTTTTTGGGGGGGGGGGTAGAGACTGGTGAGGTCTTCATGAAAGGTACCGAGCATGAGTAGGTATTTCAGTGGCCGGCATGGCGGGTTGCCAGGGAGGGCAGCCCGCGCTGGGTGCGCACGTGCTGCTGGCGGCGCACGCGTTTCACAAAGTTCCGCCGCAAATAAACCTCCACTCGGGCGCGAAACATATA